GAGGGAGGGAGGGAGGGAGGGAGGAAGGAAGGGTGGAGAGGGAGGGAGGGAGGAAGGGTGTGAACTGAAAACAACCTGTGCTTTCTGAACATGGTTTGCTACCCCTGGGCTCTTTCTGTTCTTGCCTTCACCAACAAATTGTACCTAAATGAATTTGTGTTTGTTTTGTTTTGATTAGTTTTCTAGGGACACCCAGTAAGTCACATAACTATGATGTCTGAGGTTTCAAAGGAAAGATGGAAGTTCATGTTCACGATAACGTAAGACTACGAGAGAAGGGAAATTCACAAGGCATTTTACACCCATGAAATGGGTGATGTCTGTGACTTTGCATGGCTCGACACGGAGAAAGTCAGCCAACCCAGGGCTTAAGCTTGAGGATTGCTAAAGAATGAACATGACGTAGCTGGCATCTTTTTTTCCCCCGGGGCCCAAGTCGTATTCTGGGCTTTGCAAAGTCAAGACAGCGTCTGTAGCATATCCTGCAACTATAGGCGGCCTGATTTTTACACAGTCGTGAAACATAAGCACGTGAGAAACAAGGTCCCCCCCCTCCCCCGCTAGCCCAGCCTGACTGTGGTTTCTACAATCTTCTCAAAAACGGAAGTAACGCTGCCCCCTTGCCGTTTACTGCTCCTCAAGAATTTAGGAGTTTCAAGGCGTGAGCTGTAGTTGTTTCTGGGTCGTAAGATTATGGGGGAATTTTTTTCCTCCGCTTTGTTACTTTTCTGTCTTTTAGGTTCACCACAACGAGCATATACTGTTACAATAGCAAGGACAAAAGCAATAATGGAAGCTGGCCCCTTTTTCCATTCCATTGCAAGTTAGCCCACGTACAACCAGTACGATAGTAGTCATCGTCTAGAGCAGAAGTCAGACGTGAAGCAAAATGAGAGTGCTTTTCACTGCCTTTTTTTTAATCTTAATGTTTATTTATTTTTGAGAGACAGAGCGCGAGTGGGGGAGGGGCAGAGAGAGAGAGAGGGAGACACAGAATCCGAAGCAGGCTCCGGGCTCTGAGCTGTCAGCACAGAGCCCGACGCGGGGCTCGAACCCACAAACTGTGAGATCGTGACCTGAGCTGAAGTCGGACGCTCAACCGACTGAGCCACCCAGGCGCCCCTCACTGCCTTTCGTAATGCACCTTTGGACATTAAGAAGTCTGGTTTGTATTTTGATTGCTAGGAAGCTGAGTTTAGTCAATGTGGACTTTTGGACCACATGTGGACATACTGCCTCCCCGCCACAGCACATTCTCTGTCTTCACGTCCTACACTCATACTTTTGCCCTAGACCTATCATTTCTTATCTAATATTTTGTACCATGTATGCTTTTTTATTTACAAATCTTTACGTTACGAAAAACATGCATTAAGGGGCATCCGGGTGGCTCAGTTGGTTAAGCATCTGACTTTGGCCTAGGTCATAATCTCACCATTCTGGAGTTCAAGCCCTGCATCGGGGTCTGTGCTGACAGCTCAGAACCTGGAGCCTGCTTCGGATTCTGTCTCCCTGTCTCTCTGCCCCTCCTCCACTCGTGATCTGTCTCTGTCTCTCTCAAAAATAAACAAACATAAGAAAGAAGGAAAGAAAGAAAGAAAGAAAGAAAGAAAGAAGGAAGGAAGGAAGGAAGGAAGGAAGGAAAGAAAAAGATGTATTAAGGAGAAAACAGCCAGGGGCACCTGGGTGTCTCAGTCGGTTAAGCATCCAACTTTGGATCGGGGCATGATCTCACTGTTTGTGGGTTCGAGCCCCGCATCAGATTCGCTGCTGTCAGCACAGAGTCTGCTTCAGATTCTTTGTCCCACTCTCTCTGCTCCTACCCCACCCCCCTCAAAAATAAATAAACATTTAGGGGCGCCTGGGTGGCGCAGTCGGTTAAGCGTCCGACTTCAGCCAGGTCACGATCTCGCGGTCCGTGAGTTCGAGCCCCGCGTCGGGCTCTGGGCTGATGGCTCAGAGCCTGGAGCCTGTTTCTGATTCTGTGTCTCCCTCTCTCTCTGCCCCTCCCCCGTTCATGCTCTGTCTCTCTCTGTCCCAAAAATAAATAAACGTTGAAAAAAAACATTTAAAAAAGGAGGAAAGAAACAACCATACAGTATATTTATTATTGTGAGCTGCCTTGGAATTCCAGAGAATGAGGTACAGCATTTTTTGTTTTTTTGGTTTTTTTGGTTTTTTTACTGAGAAGTGGGACTTGGCTGATGTTTCGTAGGTATTTCCCAAGCTAAGCCAGTGTGTTGATTCCGGTGATCGGCATTATTACATCAGCCTCTTCTAGAAGTTTCAACTTTGGCATGAGTCTCTTCAAGGGAAATGTATACCCACAAAGAATTGTCTGTGGAGGGGAAGGAAGTCAATGAAGAAACTTGCTGTTGCAGATAATTCTTCCTCTTCACTGCTGTAAGATATTAGAATAGATGTTAATCTCTGCCCCTGGTTCCCGGCATAGAGTTCCTGAAACCATTGTAATTTCCTGGGTGATGGCAGTGTCTTTTGTTCTCATGAGGTGACTCTGAGTGGGCTTGGGGATGGCCCCTGGATGAGAGCTGGTCACCAGAAAGAACACGCCATGATTGGAAGCTTGGAATTTTCTCTCAAGAAGGGAGAAGGGCTGAGACATTAACTCCAGAGTTCATTATTGATCGTGCCTACATGAGGAAGCCTCCATAAAAAATCCCAATAATATAGTATCGGGAGAGCTTCCGGGTTGGTGAACGCATCCACGTGGTGGGAGGGTGACACCCCAGCTCCACTGGGGCTGAAGCTTCTGGATTGGGACCCTCCCAGACCTCTCCCCATGTACCTTTTCATTTGGCTGTTCATCTGTTTCCCTGACCGTATCCTTCAATGAGCTGCTAAGTGTGAGAAGGTGTTTCCCAGAGTTTTGAAGGCCCTTC